ATAACGATTTTATTGTGACGTACCTGTCCTATTAACATAATACTTTTTTTTTTTTATTAGGTAAAGAAAATATACAACTACACAACATTTTGTACAACAAGTATTAATGATGTAGATCAGCGGTTCCCAAACTGTGCACTTTCTGGGGACACTGCGGTTTACGTTTCATTGATTTTCAATGAGTACTTTTTTTGTTCTATCTTTCATGTTATATACAGCAAGGCACCGTGGCTAACTTGGTGCCCCTAAAAGGGCACCGCGGAAAAAAAAGTTTGGGAACCGCTGATGTAGATGGTTTACATATCGTGAGAGAGGTGCGATGTAGGAAGGCTCCCAATGGAGCTACCTACTTAAAGGAATTTTAATACTATAAATATGCACACGTTTATTAGAATTCTTAAAAAATTACTTGAAATAATAATTGTTAAAGAGATATTTCAACGTCGATACCATCAGAAAGTAAATTTCTGGTTTAATAGTGAAGAAATGACGCGTACCTTTCTTTTATATCTAAAGCGTAGGTATTATACTATACAGGGAAATACGTCATTATACCGGGCGTAAGTACAATAAAAATTATTTAAAATAGAGACGGTGTTGAATAGGAACGCGAATGCGATATAATGTATATAACATAAATGCAATATATTCAGAAGGGTGCGTTTTATATGTAGAAGTATTCTATATTAAACGTATTATAGTAAGTCGTTACTGAAAATTGCAAAAGTGTATAAGGTATATATAATGTTATTAAGACACGCAAAATTTTCAAAAATAGCACGTACCTACCTACACGTATTTTAGATAGCTACTATAACATTAAATCACGAATAAAATAAAATGTAGCATCAGTCATAGGTAGTATGACGTATAATATAATAGCGTGAATTTAATTTTTCTTCCATTTCGTGAGTCCGCCTATATTGTAGTAAATATATAAACGCATAAACGTTTTGCATTCCTGTGTATAATATGTTTCGAACTAGGATTATATTATTGTCAGCAATCGACATTGAAACGCGTTTGGTGCAAAACTTAATTCTATAAATGGCACTTGGATTGTACCACAGCTATATTTTGTGTTTAAAGGAAAGTTTTAACGTGGTTTTCATGTTTCATTGTATAACATTTAGAATTTAGAGTTTCAGACAGTAACTTAAAATATTGATCGACATAATAATATATATATATTTTACATAGATAAATACGGAATACGGGTTTAACGATATACTAGCATGAAATAACTATTAAACAGTGTAATCGATGCTTTGAATGAAACTCGGAATCGGAATTAAAAAATAAGTTTTTTTGAAATACAAAAAAAAAAAAACATTCTGTGTCAGTATGATATATGTTTAGTGCTGTAACTCGTAATGTTATAAATGTATAATATATTCATTACCGAAGTATTTGTCACCACAATGAGGCGGTTCTTATTAATAAAACGAAAACAATATAATAATAATCACACTGTTCGCAGAGACATTAATCTTTAGAGGCGATGACGGAAAACAGGTAGGATACGACAAAATATTTAATTTACTCGAGAAACCGTCGTCGTTGTCGAGTCATGCCTTTAGAATGTATTTCTGAATTCTAATGCAAATAAAACAATACTAGTAATATACAATATACGACGTATGCATTATATTTTGTATGAAAATAGGAGATTCTGGCATAAATATTAAATTATGGTAATTTCAAAACTTTAATATCACGTCCAAGCGAATTAAACTCTACTAAAAATCTCCAGCAAGTGAAATTATAATTATTTTCTAATAGAAAATAAATTTGATACGGTATTTATATAACTGGTATACAGAGTGATTAAATTAATGTTGAAGACTCTTTGTGTTATTTATACATTACGAAATACGAATACATATTTACGGGAATTGAATAGCACTATTATATTATAATGTTAATTCCTCTTTATAAGTTGTAAATAAATTTAGACTAATTTTATTATAATTTATAACATCATATTAAATTACACCATATACAGTTAAAATAAAAAAGTAAAAATCGTATAAAGATAAATGATAGTTGGTAAATAGGTATTATTATAGTTTATAATATGGTCACATTATAATACATACCTATTAGCTATTATAGTCGTGTTTTAAATTTTTGTAAACTGAAAATATATTAATTGTGTACGTTGTTTTAACGTTAACAATTCATAAAAAATTTTTCCAAAAAGTTATAAAAATGAAATACACCCGCGAATTTATTTACCAATACACCACCGTACAGGATAATGTGCCCGGACGCCGCTCTGAGTGTATATGTACATGATCGTATTTTTATATATATAATATGTGTGTGTGTGTGTGTGCGCGCGTTGTGCTGAGCCCTGAACCTGTATACAACAAAACTATATCTTACCGAATACTATATATATGTATATATATATTGTAGTATGTATAACGCAATAATATCATATCGATCCGGAACGAAAACTTGTATATATATATTTATGTACCTAAATAAAAGCCGTACCGAAATCGCTACGAACGGGTGGAGAGGACGCGGAGACGTACGGCGAGAAATGGTATACTCATCGTGTATATATCTATATAAACATATATGTGTGTGTGTGTGTGTGTGTGTGTGTGTGTAAACCACGCATTTACGCCGTTTTGGGAGTTGGGGCTATGTATGTACATGCGAAAGACTCGTGTGGCGCGGTGTAGCGGGGTTTGGGGAAGGAAACCGGTGCGGACGGGCGGGGACGGGCAACTGTCACTGGGTCAAAATTTATGGTACGTACGCCCCAGCTGCCCGGGCATCCCGGCCAGGGGTCTCTAGTCCCTATGCTGCTGCTGCTGCACAACGCATAGTTGTGTGTGTGCAGCGAGGAGCGCGTGTGCGACTGCGTCGCCGCCTCCCCAAAACCAGTGTAATGTGACAAAACAAACAAACACACACGCACGTATTATATAATATTGTTGTTGTGATATATTTTTGTGCGACGATGACTACTGCTACTGCTACTGCTAGTGCTACTATTCGGTTACGCGAAAAAAAAACGCTTGTGTGTAATAGGTAAACGGATAGATATGCGATGTGGAGGCGACATTTGCGATCGGCTGTGAATTAGGCATTTTGCATTAGAGATTTTGATACCTTAACGCTTAAAGGCTTAAAATAATGTATCGACGTGCAGATTAAATGTCGATGATTCGAAACTCGCAAGAATCGCAAAGGGTTATACACTTATACACAGAATAATGTATTCATCATAACATTATTAGCATCTCCGCTATTGTAAAAGCAAACGCCAAACAAAAAAGTGTGCGTGTATCAAGGCCAATTTAAAATTCAAATATCGATATTATAATAATTATATTCTATGTTTAAACAAATAATAAATATAAATAGTTCAAAATTCATAATTTTCATATTTCATTACATTTATAGTTAATCATTTTTATAATAATACATAATTCTCATAATTAATAATTTATTATGATATTCATAATAATTATATTATAATCCTGTACTATGTTAAAAATAATAAAAAACATAACTATAAATATTTTTATGTTAAGTGTTTATTCATATGACGAAACTATTTCCGTTATGTGTATTTTAGGTATCCATTTCATGAAATGTTGTCCATATAGCGGAATTACGTGAAGTGGAAAAAAACGTTTCTACTTCGCGAAATGGATATAAACTTTGTCCACTTCGCGAAACGTACAACTATGCGATGTGGATACGACATATACATAGATGATAGCAATTAAATAATACAAAATAGCTAGTTAAAATGATTATAACAAAAATAATTAATTCTTAATGTAATACATTGCACAATATAGCAATATAAATAAGAAGAAAAATTTAAAAGAGGCTCAGATGTTTGTTTTTTTATAGATATACGCATTATATGGTAAAGAGGGTAGTTTCTACTATAATTGGTACAGTATAATCAAATTATAGAAATATGTGTGTTTTTTATTCTTACATAAATTTAAATTTAATGGAATGCATATAATACATAAATCATCAATTGCTACAAAATTCAGTACATATCACTTTCATTTTTATTTTTTCTATTAAACATCCGTCCAACAATAACAAAATATCTTTTTATCCTCTATTTCCATCAAATTTCTTCTCAGGACAGTCCAAAGTTAAATCATTCCAGTCCATTGTTTTTACACCGGATTACGCTTTAGCTAGGGGCTTTTTATATGAATGCACCAAAGGGACATCACAGTATCATTACACTGGTCACTGATATCAGATATATTAATTACGCGTGTGCACACCCGTCCCCATTCACATAACGCTATAGCCTATAGGTTCAGCTGTTATAGCATAATATTATATATCTACCTATATCATATATTATTTTAAATTATATCTATAAATAATAATGGGAATTAACCTGCGTCCTGCGCTCGTACAAGATAAATGTATTATCATATTCGGGAATAATAATTATTATTATTTTGGCACTTTATAGCTCATTGTTTACGTAAATAAATCATCAATGATTCGCAGTTGTTATACACCTCCAGCATTTTGCAATATCATGATGATCTACTAGTTTAAATAATATTGATCGTCTATGGCTGTTGCTATAGTGGAAAATTGTCTTTTTAATAAAGTTATTAGATAATTATATTACATGCGCCCGTCGTGTACTCGCATCATGGAGATTTGAAACGGAGAAAACGCGAACAGACGGACGATAAATTTGTACAACAACCGTAATATTATACTCATCTCGACTAACAAAAACACTGCTTCACCAACCTACTTATTGATATAATGTCCTACAGTGCTGTACGTTTTGTCATCAACGTCAGTTTATCGTTGTGTCCAGCTATGTGAATTTGTTAACGTCTGCGATAACGTCTTTTTACCCGTTGACACACAATAAGTAATGATAGTTTATTATTATATTTTCTATAGGTACGCGAGTATGAATCGTGATATTGTAACGTTATATTTGTATAATATGTACGTGTATATACAAGGTAACAATGGACTTGCGCAGGACTCATATAGTTGCGAAGTAAGTGTCACTCATATCATAGCTCTTCTAATGGAAAAATTCTTCATCACTTGAATCATTTATTTTTATTATTTTTTGTACACATCAACAAATTCACCAAATTTTAATTAAATTAAATAAAAATTGTTAATTAAAAAGTATAAAAATAAAATAAAAATTGCTACTTAACTAGTGAGATATTTCTATGATTTATATGCTATAAATAATTAAATAAAATACTCAAAATATTAAATAAACGATATTATGAGACAATTATATAGTAAAGTAGTTAACTTCAATATTTGACCGAAACCAAAATATAAAAATAGTATTTAAGGCTCAATCCAACCTAACCATCAACAAAGGAGTTTTCATTGTAATAAATCATTTTTTTTTTTTAGAATTTTTATTTTTCTCTCATACAATTAATTATTTTAGTAAAAAAAAAAGGCGTTATCGTCTTCCGCCGAAATTCTAAGTATCTATTTTTTCTTTTCTTAAACTGATTCGACTTCCCCACTCCTAAGTGTCAGGATCCGGGTGGCGGGATGCTACCGTACACTATCTGGTCTCTTAATTTGATAGATAATATACATAATAATACAAAGGATTATGATATTTTAAATACTTGCTTTGCATAACGGTGAACTTTTCTATATTAAAATTTTACTCATTTAGAGGTAATTGAAATTATGTATTTATGAAAATTTCATGCAAATAAAATAATACTGCTGTGTACTAATGCAGTGTATATATTATATATTTATGTGTCTGTGTGTGTGTATATGTGTATTATGTATAATATATAGTTTATTACATAAAAAAACAGTTCTTCGTGCCTTATCTCTAAATTGTAGTACACAGTTTCCACGAGTGGTTTAAGAATCTCACACTTAATAGTTACACGATTTTACTATATAATATATTTTATTTTATTTTAAAAAAAAACATATACAAATAAATATTAAAAACTATCAATTAATCATAACAAATAATATAATTTAAATATTAAATTTATGCCTCATCTATCGGTGAATTATAATTGTTTTAAATTTTAATAATAATTATTATCATAGTACATTTTATTATTCATTATTGGTTTTTCGCTTAAAGAAAAGCTCTCCACCAGTTACAATACTTTGAATATTTATAAAAACTTTAACTTTAAATACTTATTAGATATTTTAACAAAAATTAAAGTTCCTACATGCAATATTTTTAATGGCTTAAAGAATTGAAAAAAAAAAAATTATCATTTTATTATAGTTCGTACAGAAGGAATTCGTATATTGTGTTTGTCTGTTGAGCGTGTGTTATTGAATTATTTAGTTCTCATATACAGCGTATCAATTAAAGAATATCATCATCATAACAATGGTGGGTTACAATTTATTTATTCTTTGAATCGTCAGTCTCAGTAAATTGTGTTTCGTTTAAAATGTTCAATGGATGATAATTATAATATACACTGTAATATCTGTTTTTGGTTTTCAGCAGTTCGCTTGTACGATAATGTCACGTACTACACGACTGATAATTACAGCTAGTATGAATCGAAAATATAATATTTTTAATTACAGCGACTTATTCACATATGACGTATGTGTGCACCTATGTAATAATTTTAAGACTCTCAGTACACTATTATTACAATTATATTATTATTTTAACGTCCGGGTCCAAAAATTACATGCACACCGCATATGTTTAACTTGAGAACAGCGTTTATGTAATTTTTATCAGTCTTCATAAAATAAAAATATTAATAACTTAATAATTGTATTATTTGATTATATGTTTTGATAAAGGTAGATAATATACTTGCATCATCATAGAAAAACATAAATAGCTAAACAGTGTGTTTACTGTCGAGGAAATCGGAAGCCTAAAGTATAGTAAATTTATGTTAATACATACTCGTACACAACACGTGTGCTTAGACTTTAAGCACAAAGGACATGAGTATATTTTAACAACACATTAGTAAATACTGATACCGTAAAATTAATCGATTTAATTTTAACACATAATTTTATTTTGGTACCTATGTACTATATTGATGAGGCATCTATAAATTTTTTTACTTGTATAAGCTAATACAAATACTTATATTATGTTTTTTCAGATATATAAACATTTTAAATATTGTATTAATAATGTTTTTCTGTCTGAAATTCGAAAATCATATATTTATATTCACAGTGTCTATTGAATTGCAACTCATATTTTATTATTAGATAATTTTGTTTAATTAGGAATTAGTCATATCTAATATTCTAAATACTTTTATTTCGAATGGCGTTTTATTTAACAGAATATTAATTAATTGGAAAGTTAAAAACACCAATTAAAAATTTAGGGCATTTTTTTAGCGTAATATTTTGCCATATTTTTATTATTAGTAACAAGAAACAATTGGCAAATATTATTATACGAAGCTCAAAATACATTTATTTATTTTTATACAGTTAACTCTAAGCGGATTTTTAATAGCTACAGTATACGTTTAAAAATACTATAAACCCAATAAATATTATTTTGTAAAAATTTAAGTTTACGAATGTATGAGAATATTATAAAATATATTAAAAATAAAGTATATTTAGAAGCCCCAATAACGAAAATAAAGTACAACTAGTATTAAGTAAAACCTTTAAAACTTTTTGAAAATAGTAATTTATAGTATCGTTTTTATAATAAATGTTTTTAATATTCAATAATTTACTAATTCGATTTTACAAAAAACAATTATATAGTATTTCAAAAAATTAAAAATAATTATAACAATTTCTATTTACAAGTATTGTGTTATTCAATAATTATACAGAATCAATTCAAAAATATTTAAGTATAAAATTAAATGATTTAAATTATCTGAAAAAAAGTAGATTATGTAACATATTCTAAATCTATGTCAAGTTATTATTAATATTATAGTACAATGTTATAATACTAATTAGATGACATTCTAATATGCTATTTAGTTTATTAATTGGTTAAATTACTGTAGTAATTTCGATGTCCAATGCAGACCAAATTACTGATGTCTGTGAACTGTGTGTTGTTACACTTAGGTACTAATTATTGTATAAGAGATAGGGTAAAATTATTCAGACATTATTAAAACAGTTTACAATAATATAGTTATTTTTTTTTTATAAAAATTATAAATATTATAGTTATTATAAAATATTTAACATAATACGATAAAGCGGTAAAATTATTTATTAAATAATAAGTACGTCATGTAGAATTCTAATTTTTTTTATGTAATCTGTGTAAATTCTGTGTTTGCGAATAATATTGATTATATAATATATTTCTTAATAATTTCGCAGGATTTTATTGATAATTGAACTATATATTATTACATATATTTATATTTTTTTAACTTAACAAAAATATTGGTCTAATTCAAACGATAATAATGATAAATTTTGATTTTGAGTCGACGGCTGATAATAAAATATTTTTTAGTGTTATTTTCAAAGTACAAGGGATGTACATTTTGGTAATAGAGATTGGTTTTTTAAGTTCGTACTTTTAAATATAGTAAGTTTAATGTATAAACAATGAATAATGATAGTCATAAATTGTTTCTTTTAAAAGGTTTCAACCAGATTTGTGTACTTATAGGCATATTGTATATTGCACCTATACATTTACTTTACAACATAAAATAATTTTGAACTTTTTAAAAAGCTTATTTTTATTTTAATAAATTTTATATGGGCTACATATTTTCAAGAATTAAAATACAAAGTACTTTTTTATCAATAATTGTGTTTATTTTTTTCCCTAAGTTCCAAGTTAAATGTAAGCATTTAACAAAGTTTGATTATAATTTCTTTACAAATTAAACCAATACATTTTTATTAAACGATTTAAGCTAATATTAAAACCACTATTTCTTCGTCTATTTGTCTCAATAAAGAATGGATTATTTTCTTAAACATTTAATGAAACTTTTCTCTAAATATTTTTCTTCTAATTTTAACTATTATTTGCAAACCTCTTTCTGATCTTTTTCTCTATAATACACTTATCTCTATTCTTCCTTCCAAAAGTTTCAATGGTTCTATTACTATAGAAGACCTCTAATCCACTTTCAATTCTTTTAAGACAACTTTTCAAATGGCTTCTAACCTAAAGGAATTTCGGCTAACTTGCTTGTTTGCTGCGATACTTTCTTGTAACTATAACTCCCCATATCCTTTTAGGTACTATTTTTAACCTTGACAAAGGCATATTTCAAGTTATCTGAAAATTATTTCTATTATTTTCATTAGTCTGAACTCTGAAGATATTCCACTTGTTATTACTCAATTATACATCCATTCATAATCCCATGACCACTAAACATTTAACAATGTTAATCATAAATTTATCTTTAATGCTAAACAGTTTTAATTTATGACTATTGAGCCCCTACCATTTCACAACCTGGAGGTAAACAAATATATATTAACGCGATTTGTGGTTTGAAGGAGAAGAGTCTGCCTCTCTTAAACTATTGAGCTTAAGATAAATACTTCATCTCACCAAGTCATAATTTAACTACTGGCGTGTGTGTGTGTGTGTGTGTTGTGTAGGTATGTGTATACTATACAATTATATATTTATGTATTTACTACAATCTATTGCACTAATATTATATTGTAACCAGCAATAGTAAAAATGGGTAGAGTTCAAATTTGATAGAATGAAATACGAAGCAGTGTCAATTCACTTTGACAATTAAACTAGTTTAATAATTTTAATTATTATTTTTAAATATAATTTTTTAATATCTGTTTAGTTTTATACACACACTAATGCGCATAAATCAATAATTTATAATGTTAAGAATTTTAAAATAAAATATGAATAGCCTCTTAATTTTATGATTTCTTAAGTAATATACGACTTTATTACTTTATAAAAACCTTTTTTTAAAGGTATCTAAATAAATTATTATGAAGGTAATAACCATTGTAAAACCCCCACTATATTTGATTTAGAAACATAGTTTCTGATTATGA